TTGGAATTTTTATTTCAAATTTCGCGAAAATGGTTTATAACATTCCCTGCAAGTTTGTCGTTCAAAACTGGTGCCGAATCAATGTTTTAGAGCCTCCCATCAGAGCCATTAATAATAATAATAATTGACCGCAAATATAGTAATAATATCTAATAATATTAATAATTTAAAAAAATACTTAGACCTACTCCCAGAGCTACTCATAGGAGCTAAAAACTAATTTATTTTAGTTCTCAAATATGCATATTCTTTATGTTGATTTATTAATTAAATTTTTGCTACAAGGTAATTTACAACATTTGTTTATTTATTTATTTTTTTTTCTTTAATTTTATAATTGAGGGCCATTTTTTATTTCTTGATTCAATTCTTGCTTATACAGTATTTAAATATTTGAAGATTAAAAAGAATATATATCATTTCTATTACCAAATTTTTTATTGGGGCCATTTTTACCTACCTGTCATATGGGGCCATTTTTACCGGGGCCATTTTTTCTGGGGCCATTTTTTCCGGGGCCATTTTTTCTGGGCCATTTTTACCTACATTCTCTTGAGCCATGCCAGGGTTTATCAGACCCGCCTGTCGAGTAGCACAGCAATCCCTTCCCCTACCCCTTCTCCAGTCAGGAAAAAATCGATTCACCACTACTGCATGCTGTTTTCAATAATAGCATTTTACCCCATTTACATTAATTCCCCATACACTAATCAAGATTCACACTTGAATGTGATCTAATCAATTAATTAGGAAGTAAAAGAGGTGTTACATTATTCACACCTAAATAAATTTTGATTTTATAGGGACGCAGAAGAATAAAGGGAACTTCCCCAGCGTTAGTGTCTAGCATCGAGTGTGTAGTCAGTGTAAAAGGTGATGTTGTTTAACTGGTATGTTGATGAGGCAAAACAAAAAGCAATGGATCGAGGGGGGGGGGGGGGGGGGGNAACCAGAGGAACCAGTATAGGCTGTAAAGCTCATTCCTGCAACAAAAGCAAGAACAGTAACTGATGATGATGATGAGAATCAAACTCTTTGGAAGCATTTTAAAAAGTTCTTAAAACTCACTTGTTTGTAATAAAATTGTAAAGTGCTTTGATCAATTTTTTGGAAAGGTGCTATAGAAATTCTTTATATTATGGTATACGAATAAACATGCTCATGACAGAACCACAAGAGATGCACACATACACAAACATACTGTACATATAGTTAGTTGGTTTTAGTAGACGTGTCACCACCTACAGTGGACAACAACAACATGGCCTCATACTCAGCCGGATACCTACGGAAATCATTGAGATTGATTCAGTTACTTCAGATAAAACAACATTTATCTCGGTTATTGTTCCATCATTTTGGAAATCATCAAGACCGTCCCCACTTCCAGAACTCTGCAATGAAAACACTTCAAGTTCAACTAAACCTAAATATCTAAGCAGCAGTTAAATACATTTGTTAAGCCTTAGTTGGAACATTATAAAAAGAAGCAGCATGCTTAAAACATACTTTTTAAATAATAGTCAAGTAAATCACTGAATAAGATTAATTAATTGATCTTTCACAAAATTCATGTTGTAACATTGAAAATGCACAAATAGAGTGCATTTTCTACTGTGATACCTGTTCCTGAAAAATAAAATTTGATTTAGTAGTAGACATAGTTACAAAAATGTGATAAATTGAACAGAAAAAATCTAATATACTATCAAACCACAGCATTATTCATGTTAATTTAGTGTTTATAAAGATAGTTGAAGATTTTTTGAGAGAAGAGTGCTCTTTTTTTTCTGTAAAGCAAATATCAATGAAACTATTTTCAAGTTATTCTGTTATTCAGGCCGGTAACCAGAGGAGATTATGGATCAGAAGATCACTCACAAACCGAGATAACAAGTGGAATTTGATAAACGTGCAGATTGTAGTCTGTAGTTCTGTAGTATTTTCTATAGTTCTGTAGTATTTTCTGTTTCATTTCATCATATTAGAATATACAGTCACATTTTCCCACAAGTTTGCTCCTCTCTTATCCATAGAGTTCCGATTGATTTTACATTGATCCCCGAGTTAAGCTAGTTACGGGCCTGTCATTCCTATGACTACTACAGTATGTCATCAATACTGCAAAAGTCTGTAAGGTTCTCTTCAGTGTTATGTGAAGATTGTAAGTTAGAATATTAGCACAGCTAATAGTATACCTAATGAATAAATAAGCACAGCATACAAAAATAGATTTAGTATGAATATTTGATACAATCTTTCAAAATAGGTATGATACGATTACAAGATTCTTGCAATTCTCTATAAACCTATTTCGATACATCAATACTAAACATGTTGAAATACTGTACTGTATGTAACTTTTTGGACAGTGTAAGCTACACTAAATTACATGGTCAGAATACAGTCACTAATACTGTAATATACACACAAGTTATTAATATAGTGACTGATGTAACACCCTGGCATGAATCTCTGCTGTTTAAAAAAATTCTAGACAAGATTGAAACATTTCTCTATGCCGAATTGGCATAAATAGAAAATGCGCGAGAAATGACCAAGATGAAATTGTGCTTACATAACAAGATGATATAAGATCATGGCTATTTGTAACTCCCAAGTTACAAGCACCTATAAATAATTGATAAAGAACACCACTAACCTCTTCCAAGACTTCTATATCCTGAATAGCTATTACACAATGTAAAATATTGAACATTAAAAACACTGGTAGTAGTAAAACCATGGTTTGTAGCCTCTTTCTGGAACAACTAGTCTTGTGAAAGGGCAGAAAATGTAAGAACCAGAAGCCCAAGTGAGCTCAGAGGTGTAACCAATCAACTTGTGTTGACTTTGCAGAACCAACATGTGTTATGCAGATGTTCCAGTAGCCTCAGATCACTTGGGCACAAAAGTACAGTTTTGTCCTTTTCCTTCTGCTGGGTGCAACACAAGTGGTTAGGTGTACTCTGTACAGGAAACCTACACCACACTATGCTTACACTTGACTGACTACAACACCAAATACCTGAAACATCATCAATCATCTTACACCACTACAAATTTAGAACCCACGTGACATGTATTAGAATACTTATTTTTGATTATGATTGTGCCCATTTATTTAAGATCAGGAATTATACTATTTGCTTTTGGAATGCCACAATTTTAAAAAACCATCTGGAATAATCATTTTCTGCATCAAACTTAAATTCCAAAAGTAAACAGAAAAACATATTACAGTTTCTGAAACCTCAGAAGGTTGGAGGGACTATGCGTCATTTGTTTCGTTCACAGTATGTGGTCATCTTGCCCAGTCTGTTATTTTGTTATTACTATCAAGATAGAAACTGGGTTGTAAAAATTCCTTAACAATGGCAGACATAACAACCAAGAAAACAACCTCATAGGGACTGAGGGTGAATATTCTAAGCAAAGATATAAAATCAAAGTATCAAATAAAATTATTAATACAACAAAATTATAATCAAAACGTTTAATAAAATTATTACAAAAGACCGTACTTTTGGGGCATTTATTTTTTCATCATTTTTACGAACTGTCTTATGACATGAGCCGCTTCCCTACCGTTCTTCCCACTTTCCCCTTAAAAAGCACACTATAAATGTTGATTTATAAATCAATACTTTATCATAAAATGTTACATAATTATCACCCTGTTTTGTGAAACTGCCAGTTGCGCATTTTTTCAGCCCTTTTGAAAACCCAGAATACATTCCAAGTAAATTATCAATTTTAAATCAACAAAGAGTTTGAAAAACAGCCAGTTGGCAAGCGGGACTACAGTATTCTTAAATAATTTGCTATTGTCGCAGGCTGTCTCTTGGCAATAAAAATCGTAGATGTTTGTGTGCATGTGTTTATGTTTTGTAAGCGTTTGTTGAAATTCTCAGTCAAATGTTACTACAGATAAAAAGCTAATGCTTTAAATCATTTTTACTACAAGTAAATTTTGGTATAGGCCTACAGTACTTCCAAGATGGTACAGTATGCACCACTTTTTTAAAGGTTATTAAAATAATATAATAATTATATTAATGTTTCAATTGAATAAAATGCACAATGTGAATAATTAGCACAGATTATTTTACCGATGTGTCCATATTTTTCGAGAACATGGCCCACAATACATATCACAGCTTGGGGTATGGCCACAAAATCACACTGACCTACACCCAAAAAAAAAAGGTCATGTTATTTTGAGCCAGAGGTGTTTATTATAAACGACACTTGATTCTCAACCTTAATCATCTTTTAACTATGTAACTGAAAATTACACTAACAAAGAGATGGTATTGGACACACCTGAAAGTCAGCATCAAAGAATTCTTTACAACTGAAGTAAAGGAAAGGAATTCCTTATAATATACTGTATACCAAGATTACTGAACTAAATCTACCTTTACTAGGTCAGAAATGTTTGTTTTACCTAACCATCTTAATATTAGCAAACCGGTGACTAGGTTTAATTTGTCCCCAATGAATGTTCACTGACTTTTAGCAAGTTGAATGTTTTTGAGATAAATTAAGACCTTGGAAAGCTTGTATTCCCAACACCCACAACTATAACCTATGTATTGCTTCCCTTGAAATGCAATTAAACTCAAAAGTATTTATCATAGATTGTACTTTCTGAGAAAGGTTTCGCATGATGTAAAGTGCATATATTTATTTATACTAATAATAATCTCTCCAGTCAAGATTACTGTTATTAACAATGTACAGTGTATTTGGTTTTTCTTTCATGGTTTCAATCCTTTTTTTTAAATTGGTTGGATATGATTTTATCATGTGGTTATATAACCATAAGCACATAAATAAAAAATAAAAAGTTAATTATTGAGAATGTGAATTACAAATGTAGGAAAAAATGACTCCAGTAAAAATGGCCCCGGTAAGAATGGTCCCAGTGAGAATTGCCCCGGTAAAAATGGCCCCAAATGACAGGTAGGTAAAAATGGCTCCCAATGATAAAATTCTGTAAAAAAGACTACTGTATAAGTTATTTTAGTTTTCAAATATGCACATATTTTATTTTGATTTACTAATTTAAGTTTTGCTATTTTATTATTTAAATAGTTTGGAGATTTTAAAAATATTATTACTTAATTTTATCAGAATGATTTATTAAATTAATGTTTGCTATTTTGGGCCTACAGCATTTAAATAGTTTAAAAATTCATTTAAAAAATGAATTTTTAAAAATGAATTTTAAAATTGGGAGCCATTGTTTTATTTTCTTGAATTAATTCTTGCTATTTTACAGTATTTAAATATTTAAAGATTTAAAAAAAAAATCATTTTTATTACTGAATTTTATCATTTGGGCCATTTTTACCTACCTGTCATTTGAGGCCATTTTTACTGGGGTTATTTTTACCGGGGCCATTCTTTCCGGGGCCATTTTTACTGAAGAACGCATTATCTTATACGTAAATAGGTCTATTGTAAGAAGCATAAGACAGAGTAGCCTCTTGGTGAGAAAAAAATATGTTGCCCTCTGGACTGATTGTAAAAATTTCCAATAAATCAAGGCTTTTTTTTCCTAAATTTTTCAAAAGTATGCCTCAAAATACTCACTCATATTACAGATTTAAGAACTATGACTTACAGTAGTTTTATGGCAACAATTGGAAATGTCAAGGCTTGTACAGTAGCTAAGTATTTGAAATTTCTGGCGACAAATTTTACTTCGATTTAGTTACATAGAAGGGAATGCTTTGTCAAAGTTTTGCTGATCCTGACCTTGCAGATCGAAATTACACTCGAACACATTTCATAAGAACACTGAGGCTGAAATTGCTTAAAAAATAAGAACAAATTGAGGCTGAGGTAAAATGTCAAATGAGGTTTTTGAAAAACAAAAAAAAAAAATTATACTGTATCTGTACCCTATGTGCAGTAATGTAGGTGTGACTATGTAATACCATTTATAATCAGGTGTACTGTCATTTGGGGCCATTTTTACCAGGCCTTTTTTCTGGGGCAATTTTTCCAGGGCCCATTTTTGCTGTACAATAATAATTTTCTATGTTTGAAAAGCGTGTAAAATAAGAACAAATGAACATTTTGAGTCTGAAATCAGCCAAAAAATAAGAACACTGAGCCTGGGCAAAATTTTACTGGTTCTTATAAAAAAAAAAAAGTGTATGTATTAACGCAAATCTTCAATGTTTGAAGCTCAATAAAGGTTTTTATTGTCAGTTTTATTTACATTATTTCAATATAATTTTCAGAATGTACTTGGTTAATTTAATGTATTCCAAACATTACATTGAATAATTTTAGAAATCTACTAAGTTTGTCACCAATCCAACAAAATACCAAGATATAATTTTAGCAAACTGTTTCTTCAAGGTTAATATAACAGAGG